GTTTTCATTGTCGCTGATTCTCACTCGTAAAGCTCGATATAAAGCCTAGGAGTTGATGGATCTGTTCCGACTGACGATTAACTGTAGTTTTGAGGTTTTCAAACTCTTCCCGACTAATGGTTGCCTCAGTGGCACAGTCAATACACTTGTTGTTTATGAGCAGCCCTATCGCGAGACAAAGTAAGTACCACATGGTTTCTCTTCGGTGTCCCGTTTAACACTAAATAACTTATTGTCTAAACACGTATATAACAGTTCTTCAAAGTTCAAATAAATTGTATCATCTAGTGCATACAAAAGTGATAAGCGCAGCACTCAATTGTAAAGATGTCTCATAGAAATTATATTTATTCAAGCAGAAGACTGTAAGTGACTGCTTGTAAATAAAGTGATTCAATGTATATTGAAAGTCAACTGTAAATTGTTGTCCAAATTTGCTACATGCGCACAGCATAAGAACGCTCATTTTATATTTTGGTCAAAGTATTTTGACAGATTGACTTCTTGTGTTGTCGTTACCTCTTGACAACAAAACAATAACAAAAATCCATACGCACAACCATTTACTTGTCGTCCGGTACAACTTAAGTAATTCAGAACCAAAACTGAGAACATTATATGCAAAGTAATTATTTATTAATCAGCATTTTAATTAGTCATTTCATGAACAATACCAGAGAGATCTGTATACATCATTTTACATATATTCGTTATATCTGTTTGCAACCCACACGAATCCCTTGTCTAACCCTTACATAAACTATCCACAGAGATTGATTGCAGTAGAGTGGCATAGTCCATGAGAAAGGGTAGTCAAGAATGTATAATACAGTAGCTAAATACATGACTTCACGTGGACCTTTTCCCCTGAGGAAATTATTGTGCAAGTATTATCATGTGGTATTAATCAATAAGATTTCAAAATACAATATCGTCATCCAACAGTAGTTTAAGTATGTCTTCCGAGCTTCCATGTATTTTATTATTATGAACCTCCTCTATAGGAAAATTAAAAGAAAAAATGCATATGTGGCTTCAGAATATAAAATGGCAAAATGTTTAGGAGGACAAAGCTGCTTTAAATGCGAATCAGATTTTTTTTGTGATCTTCAAAACTGTCTTATGTCATTGATAAGAGAATATAGAACAAAAGTACCAAATGCACTGCACATAATAAAGCTTACTCGATAATATACAAAGGAATATGAAGAAACTTGATAAGGATGATAAATGTTTTCTGGTGCAAGTACGCCGTCGCTTAGGTTCAATGTTGTTCATGAATTTTAATGGTAAACGCATAAATTTATATATACCGCAAAAGTACCAAATAAACAACATCTAATAAAATTATTCATTTATTTTCTACAATTGTGTTGTCATAATTTAGTTCGTTTATTTTTAATCAAAATAAGATACATGTATTATTCAAATTTTCACTCCATTCTTCAGCAGCAAACAACAACGTTTCATAATTCAAGTTATAACTTCAGTTAAAAGTTAACAATGGAAGAAAAAGCAGTCTCAAACTACAAATATTGTACATTCTCTAAAGAAGCGCTCAAGGCAAAAATTTATAATATACATTAAACATGTATCATGTTATATAACTTAAAGTGGCATTATGCCCACCCAATTGTACATGGTCAGTGAACAGGTACAAATGAAACGTTTTGCCATAAATATGTTCTTATTTATATTTTAAATAATAATCAAAATCCAAGTAACCAACAGAAATTTCTATAAATATCGGTTACGTTTAATTCATAAAAATATTGGGGCGGTATTTTTACATTTTAGTTCGTTTTCACATTGTGCTATAAGCATTTTATTAACCAGTATTGGTTAATCACAATTATAAAAGTTAATACTTTGAAATATATTACTAATTGAACTAAACTTGATAGCGAAAACATGATCATAATGTCCCTAAAAGATGAACATCTAATGAATGAAACTTAAATAACAAGCCCACATATTAAAATGTGATAATTTTCTAATAAAATAATTTTCTTCAAGCTTTACAGATTATAATTTTGACAGCACATTGACATGACATGAAGTCAGCTTTATGCAATTTACATTGATCCATTCGTTTTTATGTTGTAAAGTAGCGTAGTCAGTAGAAGAACACGTAATAGATGGTGCATATATCATCACAATTGCCTTTAAGGCAATTTAAAGACAAAAATGACAAAAATATTAAAATGATCTTATAAACTCAAATCACGCTAAAACGTCATTTTGGTTAAAATCCCAGCATGGTTTTCTGTATTAAATTCTATATATTTTGGGTTTGAAGCGTAGATATATCTGTATATGTTGAACGACATTTAGAAGCCAACAGAATTACCGAGTAGTGTTAAAACAAGTTATGTGACATTAAAAAACCCCTAGAAGTTAAATAAACATACATTGTGGATATTGTATGATTGAAAAAGGTTAAGTCATTCATTTGACATTTTTTAACGTTTCCAAAGTTCATTGTGACAACTATTGTAAAATCTTAACGCTCTAACCTGACCTACGTGGATCAGATTAGAAAACATCATTTAATACTTTATAATGAGAAAAGATTTGCTCCTGTGACTGCCAAGTGTAATGAATGGAAATTTAAAACGAATAAATGAAAATTTTGCCTTTGTATCCTTGTAAAGAAAAGGAAACCTTATACTTTCATGATGCCCTCACAAATTTAGTTTATCATAGTCATTTTTGATCATCACAGAATCAGATGCTCAGGTGTTCCATTTTTTGCCTAATGCCCCAAAGTGTATCGCTGATTTTCTCAAGTTTCTGAATGGAATTCTGCCTGTAAACTTGTTCAAGCCTCAAACATTCAGTTTCCAAGTCATACAAAGTCTGAACATAGTTCAAACGGTCATCAGTACCTTTGTAGACTTTCGCTAAACACTCGAGACATTCGATTACTATAGTGTTATGCGGAAGATTTTTAATAGATTCTTCCTTTAGTTTGATAGCTTCTTTGATAGTCTTCATACATCTAGAATATGCACCTTGTCGTTCTTGCACTTCTGCTAAACTAACCATTCGTTTCATCAGCAAGAAACCTTTCATAGAAATTTCTTTGCTAAGTTTAACAGACTTAGAAAATGCCTCTTCAGCTTGCTGTAAATCTGCGGCCTTAGCACACACTTTACCTCTTGTGTTATAAATCAGAGCTTCAGTGTCCGTCATCGGTATTTTCTGCTCGCTGATCAATGTCATTGCCTCATCTAGTAGCGCGTGTGCTTCTTTGTATCTCCCTAATGCATTGTATGCGTTCGCCACGTTGCTTAATGAATAAATCAATGACGTCACCGGTGCTTTGGACCTCCGTTTAATGTCTAAAGCCTGAAGATGATAATCTAGGGCCTTGACCGAGTCTCCTTTCTGGTCCATCAAGAGAGCAATATTGTTTAACGTAGCGCCAATGATTGGATGGCAATCTCCTAGTTGAGCCTTTCTGCGTTTTAAACATGTAAAATGGTATTTTTCAGCTCTGTCGAAATTTCCTGTAATACAAAGTAATAAAAATGTGTGCATATCAACAAAATGAAAAATAAATCCCATGAAACATGTATTTGTCAATTTAATTTTATAGTTTCTTCCTAAATTGTTTTATATTCATACGCATGAATAGGTTGCTGAAACATCCAGCTCACTTGAATATTGAGTATATCTAAGATCAGCTTATCACACCATGATGATATATGATATTTGGTATTCTCCACCTGACAGTAAAAGACAACAGAATGCGTTTTACAAAATTTTAATACTAAATAAATGTGGTCAATTGACATTAATTTTTCGTCTGATTGGTTGCCTTTAAGGGTTGAGGCATCAGAACTGCAGCCTCCGTTTATCCCTGCGTGTTCGTAAAAAGTGACTAAATCGGGTCTATGCATCTCTTTACTTCAGCGGGCCATGTGGTTTTGACCACTGGTGTTGCTGAAAATTTTTTCCACCCGAAGTTAGCTTTCATGTTTCGGCGCCATATAACCTAAATTGTAAACCTAAATTAAAAACTATTATGACCTACTAGTCAATTTAAAATGTCATGTAAAATTGAGTTAGTAGGTAAGATATCCTGAGTAATCAAGTTATGAGAAATGCTAATTATTTTGTTTAACTCGTTACCCAGAAATGTATGTGATATCCCCATACAGCTGAATGACTGCATAGCAAGTGTCTCATATTCAGATCCTCCATATACAGAGATGTCAAGGGACTTCTTATAATACCTGGAGACAGATTTTTATATACAAAATAGTGTATGTGTACATAACACTGTATTTTTGTTTGAAAAAAGGCAGACAATACAACTGCAAATGGCATCCTCCGATAAACAAATATACACGAGGATATATAACATATACATCCAATAAACAAACATATAACATATTCACCATCCAATAAACAAATGTTATAAACAAATATATAAAATATTCACTATCCAATAAGCAAATATATACATTATGTATAATTGACAAAGAGTAGACCGATTGCTTAATGAAAAAAGGAATTCGTAAAAGAAGATTGAGTTCATGTCTAACTTTATTATACAGCAGATATATCTTCATACAAAGAGAGACCATTTGATCTTAGTTCACTTAAAGTGACATTATGCCCATCCAAGGTAAATGGTCAATAAACAAGTAAATATAAAATTTCTAGAAACGTTGCAATAATTATGTTCAATTTTATATTTCACTATGAAAATAGAAAAATAAATAAATAATAACGAAAACATTATCATAATATTACTTTTACAAATATAGTTTTGTGCAATTTGTTTTCAAGGCAAAAATATTTGAGTACATACTGAATTGCTTCGGCGTTTAACCCTTGTTTGTGCATATTCCAACCCATTTTCTGATAGGCTGATGCTAAATGTACAGACTTCTCCATCTTCTCTAACACTTCCAGTGCTGATTGATAATTGTTTGCACCATGTAAAAAGTCTCCCTGTATAAAGGTAAATAATCAAACATATTTTCAATTCTGTATTAAAATTTCTTCTAAATCAAACTTACTTTATGGATAGACTCATACAGTCTTTCATTGTTTAGTGTACATAACTTATTTGTTTATTTTTTGAACATAACTGACAATACAGAATCCGTTTAAATTGTGTTCTTGACTCACGTTTTGTTTGAGAAAGGTTTAGCAGCATTAATGATCGCGTTAAAAGAGTTTTAAAAAAGACACAAATATTTAACTGTTTGAAATAAAAGAACCTTTGTTATACAGTTGTTATACACAATTTGTTCTTTTATTCCTGTCACCCTACTATGGTACTTGACATATACATGTATAAACTTACTTTTGTGTTTGTTTCCATACTTCCAACTGCTATATGTACTGCCGCTTTATCAACTGATCTACCATACATCTCTGCTAATCTTAGGCACGCATTATAAAATGTATCACTTTCACCTATAATTGTATGTGATGCATGAATTATCAATTAGTCATTGGGAAAAAATATAACCTAGCTGGTACGGTTTTCAAACAAAATAACAACAAAATAAACTTTAATATACAGTAACATGCTAAACGACAGCAGCCAAAATGTACAATGAATTGGGACTAACATTTCTAAGTATGAAATCGGTCAAGTAGCAGGCACATTTATTCATGTACATGATACGCAACAGTAATATCATCTGCTGGCAATTTGGCTTTCATATATATGTTAATTTTCGATGAAAAAAAAATCTGACATACGTGTCATGAATCTTTCTATGACAGTGGTATACGACGATGCAATTTCAATGAAGAAGTGGTAAGTGTCTTCTCTAGTGTATTCAACATCACCTAGAAGTTTCTGTAGGTTTGGTTGTTCAACAGCAAATTCTGAATACGCTTTAGCGTACTCCTCTGTGCCCATTTGTATTGATATTTTCTTCATGACCTCTGTAAACACTTTGCAGTATTTCTTTCGTAATTCTGAAATTTAAAATAAAGTTATCTGTCTAACTGTCAGAGTATATTCATGAGTGTAAAAGACATTTGTATTCTGTATGTCAATTTTACATTTAATTATGACAACATAACCATTTTTATTGATCAGTTAAACTGACTAGCACAGAAAGCATATTTTGGTAAACGTTATATTTTTTGGTTACTTTATAAAACCGCACGTTTGTATCGCCCCTTTCCATTTGGTAATCGGTACGTCAATGAACTCCATTCAAGAAGATAATGCCAAAATATAAAATGTCGATTTAAAAACTCAAAGAGTATTCAATAATAGACGATTAGCAAAACGTTTTTAAAAATATGCTTTGAATACAGATGGAAACTAACGGTTTATACCAGGTAGATCTCTGATAACAAAATCAGCCTTCAACACCTCACGCAAAATACCCTGAATGTTAAAACGACTGTTTTCAGAATCATAATTAAGCATGTGTCTTCGTCTGATTGGTAGAATTGCTGTTTGTTTCGCCATCGCCTCACTCTCTATACCTGTAATTTATCTTCCTTTCTTGAAAACGTGTAAGCATTTTGTAATAAAAATGGAGTCAACATTATAACGAATTTGAGGACAGATGTTAATAAAATTGTAACTGTATTTTTCAATAAGAAATATGAACTGAAAAAACAGACATGTAATTTTAGTATTATTAATAATTGTTTAAGAAGCTATCGAGGATTTCAATGCCCATTTAACTTAACGAAATTCATAAACCTATACAATTTTGGATATATTTCAAGACACATAATGTCTCAGAAATATATATTTTCCTTCTTAGGAATGAAAAACTTGAGTTTATAACATTCAAATAGTCGTTTTAGAGCGCGTTAGATGTATATCACCTTCAAACAGAAGCGCTGAATGTGAAAATATTTGCAAAAAAAGTAGAAAACTGTAAAAAAATTATTTTGACTTTCAGTACAAAAATACTTAATCACTATCATTTCTTTATGCCCAAATAGCAAGTAAGATATGGGCTAATAACGTTATGCCCCAAGTTGTAACTTTTTTGAAACGATGTAACAGAACACCGCTTATAAAAAGCGTATGAAAAATTAAAATAAAACCACTTTTTGAGCATAGCGCGGCTTAAAACAATGAATTAAATTGACAAAGACTCAACAAACCTAGGAGACCACCAGCTGTCCACTGCATTAAACGATCCCCACGAATTGTAGCCCTAAATCTGACATTGTACTCCCCAGATTGAATGCTAGTATAAAAGTCCATATCAAAAAAAAACCAATTTTCCCCCCTGAAAAAGAATAACAGACAGTTCTGATAATTATATAATATGACAACTTATATTACGTCTTATACACATGCATGTTTACGTCAGGTATTTAAAAAACATATAATTATTAAAGTTATTATACTCGACCGACAGTTAATCAAAATTTTAGAAATATTTACAATTTATCCGTTTTTTAAAGACACTTTAACATGTAGGGGAATATCAATTTTTTATTTTAAAATGTAAACCCATTCGTCTTTTCCCTTTGGGTAAAAACTCTTGCATGTTTCTAGGGGACATTGACAAAAATAATTTAACCATATCTTCTGGGTTAGAAGTCCTTCGTCTGCTTTCAGCTTTGGCCCCCAATCATCCCGTATCATCAGAGGTAAAAACCCTTTGCCCTTTGTTTGACAATGGGTTTACCATATTTCCCCCAGGTCAAAATCTGGTGCAATTTTTTTGCAGCAACTCCTTTGGGTTCCCCTTTCTACCAAGGGGGTTCTTTCAAAGTAAAAAATCGAAAAACCCAGTTTAATTTAATCCGAGTTGTTGATGTCACAAATATCTTAAACCGAGGGAAAAATTGGCAAATTTTGAAAAAAATGTTAAAAATTTACCACTAAATTGACTTTCTATACAATCCTCACATTATCAAAAAAAAATAACCAAAAATCTCGTGTTTTTACGCAAAAGTTACTGCCAGTATTACTTTTTTTTATCCATTTCCGGGTTTTCCCTGGGTTTCGAAACTGGTTTTATTCCCCTAGGGGGCATGTGTTTTAATATAGGGACTCATGGAGCCCAAAGTACTGAAGTTCTACATATATTTACCTGACACTTTTTGGGTTTTAGGGAAATCCCTTACACACCTTGATTTTCCAACAGAAACCCGATTTTCCCAAAAAAACCAAACAGCTTGTATTTTCCCAAGCTCTTCAAATTTTCGAAAATCGAGTTTCCGGGCCCAAAAAATTCCAAAAAACCGGGGAAAAATCGAGCTGGGCTAACCCCTTGTTGTTTCAGCAAAATTTTAAAAGGATTACTTGTCAAAACCCGAAAAAAGCTATAATTCCTTTTAAGTTCAGGACACACCTGTTGTAAGTATGCCCGCAAAAGGGAACCCAAAAAGCTTTTAAAAAAGATACATATGAATCAAGGGAGCAGCTCTAGAAAGCCAAAATATTTTTAAAAAAATCAAAGTGGAGAAAAATTAAAATTAAGATTTTTGGGGAAAAAAGGAAAACGATTCAAAAATTCGGGGAATTTAAAAACTGATTTTCAGTATTGGAAATTTTACTTTTTCAGCCTGACACGCCATATTCTTACTGGGTTGGGTAAAGGGTGCTATTTTTTATAATTTGACCCCTTTTTGTAAAAAACATGACTTGTAGATGTTTTTGCCATGTGTAAATCCAAATTCTTTTTTCAAATTGGGCAAAAACAATTTTTAATTTTTCATAAAACATTTTATGAATTTTGAGGGCATTTCGCTTACATCATGTGAGTCACAAATTCAAAAAATTTCTTAAAAAATCATATTTTAAAACGGGAAAAACTAATAGTTATTTTAATTTAAAATTAGTTTTTCATTTTAAAAATAAAAAATTAAAATTAAATATGTACGGGTTTTTTTTTACAACTGAAAGGGAAAATATCCACGTGCGCCCGTTTAAAAACCCCCTAATAAAAAGCCTTTTTTGTGCCGTACTTTTATTTTAAAAGTATAAAATGGGTATTTGGTTTATAAGAAAAACTTTAATTTTTTCACAAAAACTTTTGATTTTAAAAAAAAAAATGTTCATGGGGTTAAAGGGGGAAAAACTTAAAAAAATTTTGTTTTTTTCTATTTAAATAAACGGGTTTAATTTCTATATTTCATATAGGAAAAAACACAATTTTTCAAATATTCACCTCTGGGAAAAAACCCACTTTCGGTTTAAAATTAAATTTTACTCTATTTGTTAATGGGTTTTATAATTTTACAAGGGGAAAAAAACATATAAATGTCTATACTTTTTATAAAAACCCCTTTTTAGAAGTTTTCAACTTTTTTAACCCTTACAAGCAAAAGGGAAACTAAACAAAGTCGGGTTAAAGAAGCTTTTTGTAAAAATGTTTATCCTAAATAGACCTAATTAAGATTAAAATTGTGGTTTTTGATAAATTTTAGTTTCAATTATTGAGAAAAAACTTTTCTTTCTTCTGGTTAATCCAATCAAAAGTGAGTTTTACGTTTTTTCCTTTTCTTTAAGATAACATTTATGCATGTAAAATTATAGCATTTTTCTTCCGTTTTCCTTAAAAACAATCACAGTTTTTTTTTTGTTACTCATAAAATTTGGTTTAAAAACTGACGATTTCATTCGATCATTAACAAAAAAACGTGAAATTTAATAGTCGTGTTTATTTCAGGCTCGAAAAAACCATTTATCATACAAAGCTTTAAATTTATATGAATTCTTTAAACAAAATTCTGGGGTTAATTTTAAAACGATTTTTAATGGAAAATGTTAGTTTATTTACACATCATATTTAAGACATATTTTTTCATAAATTAGCCGTATGAAAGATACATAAGGGACAAAAAATTAGTTGATAAACCCTATATTTAGTGCCACATATATAATATTGGTAAATAAACATTTAAAACGGCGACGGACACCAATCGCACACCTCAATAATCTACTTTTCCGGAATGCATTTTGAATGAATTTTTCCTTAAGATTATCAAGCACTTAAAATGCAGTTTTTTTTTAAACAGATTCCGTAAGAAGAGGCCCGTACTCGTTTTTAATCAAGGAGACCTTTTAGTACAATCGGAATTATCTCGTTATTATCCATAAGAAGTTGTACGAAAAGGGGCCGACATTTTATCGGGTTCTTTTTTAACCCAATTATTTAAAGTTTTCTATATCTGGGTTTAAAAAAATTTTAAAAAGTTTCCCCGGGGCCTTTTGGCCCTTTGGGGGGGAAAAATTTTTTTGAAATTGGCATAAGATGTGGGGTTTGTTTTTTCATCAAAAAGAAAAGAGGGCCCCTTTTGAAAACCAGAAGATCATCCCAAAAAAAAGTCTTTTAATAAAACCAAATCTTTTTTTACAAAACTTTCCTTTCATTACACAAAACATGGAAGAACTAAATTGTTCACATTTTTAAAAAAGCCAAAAATTTTTTATACTTTTACTTTGTCAAAATTTTAAAATATGCCATTTTATATTTTCCCGACATAAGGGCTAAAAACCCCTAAGGCTATAGATTTTGTTAAAAAAAATTTTTAAAATTTTAATTTAAAGTACAAGTCCTTTTTTTTTTTGATATTAAAGAGTCAGTTCCGAATTTTTGGGCCTTATATTTTGTGTAAACTTAACTTTGTAGTTACCCTTTCCCCTTTTATTACATATCTTTTTTTACCGGCCCGTGGGCGCCCTTTCACAAGCCTGAAAAATTTTATTCCCAGAAGAATTTTGGGGTCTCATAAAATACGCACTATTTAAAATAAAAAAAATAAGACAAAGGGTTTCAGTTATCCAAACCCAAAAGCCTTTTAGAAAAAAACAGTTTTTTTTCACATCTTTTTTTGCACAACTCTTTTTTAATCAAAAAAACACGAAGTCATAAATTTTTGTTTTAAAAGACCATTTTTTAAAAAAAGTTTAAATTTTAAAAAACTATTAATGTGTTAGAACATGAAACGATTGGGGAATAATAAACGTTTATATCTGTAAAAATTAAGAAAAAACAAAGAAACCTTTTTATAAACAAATTTGGGATTTTTCCTGCCAATACACATTTTATTTTAAAATTTGAAAAAACTGTATAAATTTCCCCAAATTTCCCTTATCAGTCATTCCCTGAAACAAAAAAGAAAAGGTTTAGCCCTTCAGAAAAAAAAAAAACTTTTTAACAAAACCCAAAAATTCCATAAAACTATATTCTTCTATCCGGTTTTTTCTTTAACCCTCAGACTCTTCCTAGCACTTGGCCCCGTTTTAAATAAGTTTCCAGTACTTTCAAAACATTTTGAATATCAGTACCTTGTGGGAGATTTTTTTTCAGACTGAAATTTCCCAAACCTTAATTTTGGAATTATTAAACAACCCGTAGCAGAGCTTTCATATATTCATAAGCCCTTGCATAAAGATTCACTTTCTAACTACAAATACATGAATATGTAGCAACATATGGTAAATACAATTTCTATATCATACACTTACAATATAAGTATTAATGTAAAATTTTTTTGCTTCGACCAAGGATCGAACCAGCGACCCTTGGGTTGGTAATCTGGTGCTTTTCCTATTAGGCTTCGCCGACGGACATTTAGATAACGTTCAATATGTTTTACACTAGATGTATAAACTTCAGTGTATAATCAAGTTTACTGTTTCAGCAAAACGTTGGGTATATTGCGGTACAAGTATCACTTTTTGAGACAGTAATCTAGTACAGGTTGTAGCAAAATTTAGTGAGAGTAATGCTGTATAACTAAAGTACCAGTAATGCATGTCCGTCAACTTACTAACTTTTCTTTGGCAAAAGTGACATTATGCCCACCCAATTATACATGTTCAGTAAACAGGTTAAAATAAAACTTGACATTTTGCCGTCATTATGTTCTTTTTATATTTTATTATAATGTTAATCAAACTCCAAGTGACCAACGGGAAGTTCTATAGATATCGTTCAAACTGTAACGGTTACGCTTAATTCTTAAAAAGATTGGGGAGGTATGTTCATAATTCAGTTCGTTTTTACATTGTGTTTTAAGCATTTTTCATTACCAATTATTGGCCAATAACAATTATAATATTCAATATTTTGAAATATACACGAATTACTAATTCACCTAAACTTGACAATGAAAACATGACCATAATGTCACCTTAAGATGAACATCCGATAAATGAATCCTAACAAGCAAACAGACAAAAAGAAGATCAATTTCTGATTTCGCATACATAATGATTTTCTTCAAGCATAACACAGAATAAATTTGACAGTACATTGAGATAACATAACGTCAGCTTAATGCAATTTAGATTGATCCATTTCGTCTTATGTTTTCAAGTATTTAGTAGAAGCACAAGTAACAGATTGTGACTATATCCCATCACAATTGCCTTTAATGAAAAAAAACCTTGGCTTATACTTTACATTATGATCGCGCATATTTAGTTTATCATACATCACAATATCAGATGCTCAAATGCTCCATTTTTTGCCTAATGCCCAAAAGTGTATCGCTGATTTTCTCAAGTTTCTGAATGGAATTCTGCCTGTAAACTTGTTCAAGCCTCAAACATTCAGTTTCCAAGTCATACCAAGTCTGAACATAGTTCAAACGGTCATCAGTACATATAGATATACATTATAGACTTTCGCTAAACACTCGAGACATTCGATTACTATAGTGTTATGCGGAAGATTTTTAATAGATATTTCCTTTAGTTTGATAGCTTCTTTGATAGTCTTCATACATCTAGAATATGCACCTTGTCGTCCTTGCACTTCTGCTAAACTAACCATTCGTTTCATCAGCAAGAAACCTTTCATAGAAATTTCTTTGCTAAGTTTAACGGACCTAGAAAATGCCTCTTCAGCTTGCTGTAAATCTGCGGCTTTAGCACACACTTTACCTCTAGGTGTTATAAATCATGGCTTCGTAGTTCCTTCATCGGTATTTTGACGTTAACTGCTCGCTAATCGATTGCTCATGTCATGGCAATCTCCTAGTTGAGCCTTTCTGCGTTTTAAACATGTAAAATGGTATTTTTCAGCTCTGTCGAAATTTCCTGTAATACAAAGTTATACGAGAATTGAGCATGAGGGGAAAAAATGACACCGGTATTTGTGAATTTAATTAAGCTTCATCTGAAAATGTAAAATATGAGAATTGATTTTTTCCCCCCCAAAAAAAATTTTAAAGGGAATTTTAAAACTAAAAACCCCCCAAAAAAAAAAATTTTTTTTTTTTAAAAAAAAGGAAAAAATTTTTGGTTTTTAATTTACCCCAAAAATTTTTAAAAAAAAACCCAAAAAACTTTTAATTTAAGGGTTTTTAAAAAAAAAAAATTGTTGGGTTCCCTTTTTTTCCAAGGTTTTTTTTTTTTTTAAAATTTTTAAAAAATTTTAAAAAAAAATTTTTTTTTAAAAAAAAAATTTGGAAAAAAAATTAAAAAATTCAAAATTTTTCTTTTTAATTTTAAAAAATTTTTTTTTTTTTTCCCCCCCCTTTTCCCGGGGTTTTTAAAAAAAAATTTTTTTTTTAACCCTTTTTTTTAAAAAACCCAAAAAACCCCCTTTCCCCCTTTTTTAAAAAATTTTTTTTTAAAAAAAACCCCCCCCTTTTTTGGAAGTTAATTTTGAAAAAGGCCCAAAAAACCGGGAAAAAATTTTTCCCGGGGTTTTTTTTTTAAAATTTTTGGAAAAAAAATTTTTTTTTTTTTTAATTTTAAAAAAAAAAAAGGTTTTTTAAAAAAAATTTTAAAAACCCCCCTTTTTTAAAAAAAACTTTTGGGGGCCCCCTTTTTTTTTTTAAGAAAACCCCAAAAAAATTTTTTTTCCCCCCCGGGGGAAAAAAAAAAAAGGGGGAAAAATTTTTTTGTAACCCCCCCTTTTTTTTTAAAAAAAATTTTTTTTTTTAAAAAAAAAAGTTTTTTGGTTTAAAAGGGGGAAAAAAAAAAAAATTTTAAAAAAAGGTTTTTTAAAAAAAAAAGGGTTCCAAATTTTTGGGTGGGTTTTTTTTTTTAAAAAAAAAAAATTTTAAAAATTTTTTTTAAAAAATTTTTAAAACCCCCCCCTTTTTTTTTTTTTTTAAAAATTTTTTTTTTTTGGGAAATTTTTTTCCCCCCCTTTTAAAAAAAAGGGTTTTTTTAAAAATTTTTTTTTTTTTTTTTAATTTTAATTTTTTTTTTTAAAAAAAAAATTTTTTGGTTTTAAATTTTTTTAAAAAAGAAAATTTTTTTTCCCCCTTTTTTTTTTTTAAAAAAAAAAAAAATTTTTGGTTTTTTTTGAAAAGATCTCCATACATCCCCAAGTCTTAGCATGCTTATAAAATTATCACTTTCACCTGTAATTGTATGATTGTGATGTTAGTCGTAGAAAAACAGAAGCGGAGAAACTTGACTGGTACGTAACTATAAATTGTATCACTGTAGATGATGCTTAAATTACCAGTTAGTCATAGAAAAACATGTATAAACGTATCTTTAAATTGAAAGTTTTATCATAAACGGAAACAGCAAAAAAGATGTCTATAATAGAACGTATTATATTGAAAAGTGCAGAACAACTCTTGAGAAAATTGAAACTTAACTGTTGAGACTAGAACAAGTGTTTTTTGTCAGTTCAACGAAACGGCTTTACAAAGAATCAGAAATCAAATTTAAGACATCTAAGCTAACCGGAAAATTTACAGTAAGAAAGTAATATTTTTGGGCTGAAACAACTTTTAAATTTGTAATCGACCAAATAATAGACACATTTATACATGTACAAATTCTATGATATAAAACAGTAATATCAGCAAGCTATTTGGCTTTCATACAACATGTGTTTATATAAGATCAAAAATCTGACATACGTGCCATGAATCTTTCTATGACAGTGGTATACGACGATACAATTTCAATGAAGAAGTGGTAAGTGTCTTCTCTTGTGTATTCAACATCACCTAGAAGTTTCTGTAGGTTTGGTTGTTCAACAGCAAATTCTGAATACGCTTTAATGTACTCCTCTGTGCCCATTTGTATTGATATTTTCTTCATAACCTCTGTAAAGACTTTGCAGTATTTCTTTCGTAACTCTGAAATTTTAAATAAAGTTATCTGTCTTTCAGAGTATATTCACCAGTGTAATGACATTTGTTTTCGAGGTCAATTTTACATTTAATTATGTCAACATAACCATTTCTATTGATCAGCTAGTTAAACTGACTAGCACGGAAAACATATTGTGGTAAACGTTTTATTCCTTTGGTTACTTTATAAAACTGCTCGTTTGTATCGCCCCTTCCCCTTTGGGTAATCGGTACGTCAATAAACTCTATTCAAGAAGCTAAATGCCAAAATATAAAAAGTCGATTAAAATACTCATAGAGTATTCAACTATAGTTGATTAGCAAAAGTTTAAAAATATGTTTTTGAATACTTATGAAAATTAACGCTTCATACCAGGTAGATCTCTTATAACAAAGTCAGCCTTCAACACCTCACGCAAAATACCCTGAATGTTAAAACGACTGTTTTCAGGATCATAATTTAGCATGTGTCTTCGTCTGATTGGTAGAATTGCAGTTTGCTTCGCCATCGCCTCACTCTCTATACCTGTAATTTATTTTCCTTTTTTGAAAACTTGTCAGCATTTTGAAAAGGAAACCGAGCAAAAATTATCCTGAATTTAAGACCACATGTTTATACAAAATTGTAACAGTCAATTATTTTCATTCAATAAGAAATAAGAAGTGAACAAATCAGACATGTACGAGTAATTTTAGTGTTGTTTTTTTATGAATCTGTTAAGGTTATCAATGACCATTTAACTTAACAAAATTAATAAACTTATACAATTTTGGATATTTTTAAAGCCACATAATGCCTCAGAAACATATTTTTCCTTCTTAAGGATTGCAAACACGAGTTTATAACGTGTAAATAACCGATTTAGAGCGCGTTAGATGTTTACTACCTGAAAACAGTAGCACTGAATGTGAAAATATTTGCAAAAGAGTATCAAACTGTAAACACAGTAGTATTTTGACTTCAATACAAAATGCTATATCACTATAACTGCAATTATTGTTAAAAAAAGATGGCTCAGATAAATTACCAATGAGTAACTTTTTTGAAACGTTAACAGAACACCATAATAAAACAGCGTATGAAAAAAAAAATAAAAAAAATAAAACCACTTTTGAGGCAAAGCGGGCCTTGAAAACATGACTTAAATTGACAAAGACTCAACAAACCTAGGAGACCACCAGCTTCCATTGCATTAAACGATCCAGGAATGTATCCTAGATCTATCAGATGACATTGGAACTCCCCAGATAATCGCAGTATAAAAGTCCTATACACATCACCTTGAAAAGAATTACAGACAAGTTCTGATTAATAATCATCTAAGATAGGACTAAACTTTCTTTAATTCTATACAGATGAATGTTTTGGTCAGGCAGTTAAAACATATAATGTATTATTCTTTAAAATTATTATATACCGACGACAGTTAATCAAATAAAGATATTTACTTCATCCGTTTTAAAGACACTTTAACATGTAGGTGAATATCAATGTGTTATTTTACATGTACCTATTCGGTCTTCCTCCGGGTAAAACTCATTGCTAAGTGTTTCTAGGCGACATTGACATAATAATTCAACCATATCTGCTGGCGTTAGAAGTCCTTCGTCTGCTTTCAGTTCGGCGCCAATCATCAGTATCATCAGAGGTAAACCTTCGCTTAGTTTGACAATGGCTTCACCATATTCCCCTAGGTCAACATCTGGTGCAATTGTCTGCAGCAACTCCTTGGCTTCGCTTTCTACCAAGGGCTTCATTTCAAATGTAAAGAATCGAAACCGAGTGAACTGAATCCGAGTTGTTGATGTCACAAATATCTTAATCCGAGTGCAAGATTGTGCAAGTTTTGAAAGAAATGTTAAAAATTGACCACTAAATTGACTTTCTATGACATCCTCGGCATTATCAAAGAAGATAACCAAACTCTCGTGTTTTGACGCAATCGTTACTGCAGATATTACTTGTTTTATCCATTTCTCGGTTTCTGTGGCTTTCGGATCTGGTTCTATTCCCAGTAGGGCGCATGTGTTTGAATATAGCGACTCTATGGAGTCAATGTACTGAAGTTCTACATATATCACCTGACACTTTTTGGTTTTCAGGTACTCCCTTACACACCTTGATTTTCCAACAGACCTGATTCCAAATATACCAAACAGCTTGTACTTACTCCAAGCTTCTTCAAATTTTCGAAACTCGTGTTTCCTGCCAACAAATTCAAAAACGGAAACATCGGGCTGGTCTATCACTTGTTGTACAGGCATTCTAACTGATTATTTGTCAATCTGAAATAGGTATGGACTCCTTGGAAGTTCAGGTACACAACTGTTCTAAGATGTCGCTACAACGGAACGAAAACGCTTTTAAATAGATATATTTGAATCAGCAGCATGTCTCAAGAAGAGCCAAAATATTTTAAGAAAATCAAAGTGGAGAAAAATAAAGTAAGATTTTGAGAAAAGTAAAAAGATTCAAGATTCATATGCAATTAATTACTGATTTTGAAGTATTTATTACCACATTTTAACTGCGTGACTAAAGTAGTAGGCGTAATTTTCTTGTATAATTTGACCACTTTTTGTAATATACGTGACTTGAAGATGTGTTGTGCAATGTGTTAATCACTTGACAATATGTTACTTTTAAATATATTTTCAAGTTTTTCATGAAGATAAGTATGAATTATGAGGCATGCTGCATTACATCATGTCATGTCACTGTATACAAATTGCTTTTAGAAGTCATATTTAAAGGGGCAATACTAAAAGTAATATATTGAAAAGTAAATTTTACATATTAATATTAACTAAGAGTACGTGTTTTGTTTGTTTTACAAACTGAAAGGGAAGTAACCACTGTGCGCAGTTTAAACCCACAAATAAAAGCCGTTTGGTGCCGTACTTTTATCAAATGTATATATAAGAAACACTTTAATGTGTCACAAATCTTCGATTTGAAAAAAAAACAACATGTATCTGTGGTTAAGTCAAAGCTTGAAATGTAGAGTTATTTCTATTTAATAAAAGAGGTTAATTACTGATATACATAAAGGGAAAAATCACATTTACAAATATTCACCTCTGGGAAAACCTAGTTTCGGTTTTAAATTACCATTGATTGCTATTTGTTAATGATTTTATAATTATAGATAGGTAAAAATCATATAAATGTCCACTACTTTCATAACCACTTTTCAGAAATGTTTCAACTTTCATAACTTAAACGCGAAAGGAAGCTTAAAAAAATCGGATTAAAGTCAGTTTCTGTAAAATATTAGCCTAATTAGGACATAATTAAGATTAAATATTGTGTTCCGATAATCTCAATGTCAAATATTGCAAAGCACTTACTTTTCATTCTGTTTCATTCATCAAGAACGATTGTGTTGCTTTTCTTCTAAGATGACATATTATGCATATAATATTATCATGCATTTACTTCCGCTTTCTTTTCACACAGTGTTTTACTCACAGGCAATCGGTGCGTGGCTAGGATAGTATACATGTACATGACCACGCCCACTTATTTTTTTATAAATATTTTTTTTTTCTTATTAATAAAATATTTTTTTATTCAAAATGTTTTTAAAATATCTTATTTTCAATAAATCAACAAAGAAAATTTGTTTTTAAAAAAATTCATCCATATATACTATTAATATAGTGAAGGTAGAAAGGTTCGCCAGCGGACCTACCACCAGGCCTTATGTTACCTCCCAGATCTTTGTTAATTGTCAACTAATTTTCACCAAATAAAGTGCAATCTACGCAGAAATGATTTCTCTTTCGAAAAATGTACAATATTAGAACAGTTGGTACGACAAAAGATGGAATTTTAAAGCGAAAATGCACTTTTTGTCTAGGTCGGCCATCGCTTGACCGAGCCGAAAGTAGACGATTTGAACATAAATCGATCTTTTTCTTAATAACAAACTAATGTCAGTGCATGCAAACAGTTGAAACAGAAAGGGCAGCTATAATACTATCGCTTACCGGTCTAAAGTTAATCCAAAACGTCTGTAGGTACGCACTTTCGGTAGTTATTTGCACTAACTTTTTAAATTCCCTGACATTACATGTATACAAATGCTGACCCGGATGTACCTGATGCGTACCGCTTTTCGCATAATAAAAATTGAGCGAAGCTGGGTACAGCGGGAACCGAGCATGCGTACCTTGAATATCCGGATCAGAATTTGTATACATGTACAATGTCGGAAATTTAAAAAGTTAGTGCAAATAACTACTGAAAGTGCGTACCTACAGACGTTTTGGATTTACTTTGGACCGGTAAGCGATAGTATTATAGCTGCCTTTCTATTTCAACTGTTTGCATGCACTGACATTAGTTTGTTATTAAGAAAAAGATCGATTTATGTTCAAAATCGTCTACTTTCGGCTCGGTCAAGCGATGGCCGACCTAGACAAAAGTGCATTTTTGCTTTAAAAATTCCATCTTTTGTCGTACCAACTTTCTAATATTGTACATTTTCGAAAGAGAAATCATTTCTGCGTAGATTGCACTTTATTTGTGGTGAAAATTGGTTGACAATTAACAAGATCTGGGAGGTAACATAAGGCCTGGTGGTAAGTCCGCTGGCGAACCTTTCTACCTTTACTATATTAATAGTATATATGGATGAATTTTTTTAAAAACAAATTTTCTTTGTTGATTTATTGAAAATATGATATTTTAAAAAACATTTTGAATAAAAAAATATTTTTATTAATAAGAAAAAAAAATATTTATAAAAAAATAAGTGGGCGTGGTCATGTACATGTATACTATCCTAGCCACGCACCGATTGCCTGTGGTTTTACTATACTGGCATGCGAGCAGTTCCCGTACAGAAGCAGTACCCGTATTTTTCATTTAAACGCTTGATTTTTACATGCATTCTTCAAAAATTCATTTCAAATCAAGCAGATACATAAACGAGACAAAATCTTAGTGTCAGTTCGGCAATACGCATTAAAAGTCTAATTTTAAATCACTTTCACCTGTGCGTCATCAAAACGTGACCTTGTTTTCTCTGGGGGATTCCGTCCTTGCGCGCATGCGCAAAGATATTTACACGTGAGGCTTGTTAAAGGGTTTTCCACTATACCACCTGTTTACAGATAAGTAAGCAATGTGATTAAAACTTGTTAATAATCAGAATTTGACCAATATTACTATTTAAAATAATTTTTATGGCTTTGACGCGTAAAAATATCAATGTATACAAGCACTGCTATTGCATGTGAATGCGTTTGGGGAAAACGGTACCGGGTAATAGATACCCGCGTTTAGTCTACGGTCTATTTCCTGAATTACATCTATTTTATTTCTTAGATAATGGTCTGTTCAACAATTGTAAATGAAAAATAGGTCCGATATAATAAAATTGTATAATTACAATGGGTTAGATTTTATGTACGGGAACTACTTCTCTTCATACAAAATAATCAATAATTTCGGTACCCCATATGAGGCCCCATAAGTAAGGGTTATTCTATGTTTAGAACATGATGGAATTTCCATGATTTGTGTGACGAGCCGAATATTGATGTGTAAAATTCAAATTTTGGTGAGTGAGCGTAATAAAAAATAATGTTTAAGTAACTACGATTTTTGTACGGGAACTGCTCGCATGCCAGTACGCAGTTTCGGTGTTGAATCTATAGAGGCTATTCGTTGCCAAAAATCCAGCCTTTGAAACTTGACAATGCATACTTCGGTTCTACTAAACAGATTAATAAAAATCTAATTGTCGATCCGAGAGTTACATACTGCACTGGTATTAAGCATTTTGATTATCTCGATTTGATAAAATGAAAGCTGTTAACATGCAACTTAGATAAATTGCAAACTGTATTTATAAATGTATAATTTCAAATTTGCGACATGTAGAAATGTAAAACGATAGAACGTACACAATACGTTTAATGCTGTGCATCATGAGTTGAGAATGTAACTGCATCAACTTGAACACACTCAGGTTTACAACACCACACTTTCCTTTTACAGTCTAAACGCGATTAAACATTTGTAAACGATTTTTGCAACTTCCATATATGGAATTATCACGGAAATTAGACGAAAATAATAGCGGAGCCAATTTCTCGAAAGCAGAATATAAAGAGAGGTAACTCTTGCTGGTACAAAAATAATATTTCAAATTATATAGAAACTGTTACATCAATCTTGACTTTGAACATCCTCTTATTTTGTTTAAACGTATTCTAGTACAGGATATTCAAGTAATGCAAAATTGGTTAAGATATAATGTAAAAATGTAACAACGTATATACTGATAATGAGCATAATAATATGCAAAAACTAAAGTTGGTGAAATAACATAAGGAAATGTTTCCCATATATAATGACACACACCACTACTCATTGATATCAATGATAGGATTTTGTGAGCCACGGCAATACTCTTAGGCATATCTTTTTACCTGCAGCAAATAGTACTAGAATGCGATACATGGAAGGCACTTTTGGCAACACGAATAAAGAGAACTGAACAATAAGTCTGTGCCTTCTTTCTTTAAAGGACTATGTTGGGTTGTAGAAAAACTCATGATTTTGACCAAGTGTATAACCACGAGACAATGCAAAGTTTACTATCGATAATTTCCGTTGTATAACAAAAACTTGTGAATTTGTCCCCATTTTAATGTTGAAATAAATATTCAGTGTATCCTTGCAACTTCTGTTTACCTCCATTGGGAGTATTTTGAGTCATAGGATGTGATTTAGCATTTTATTGTTTAAATATATGTAAGCTGGCGTAGGTTAAGGTCTTTTATGCATTGTGCTGAATCAAATAGCACTCTTAAAATATGTGTATGTATGCTGTCATTAGCTGTTACCTAGATTTGCTGTCTAGAATTTGCTGTCTATATGATCAAAACAAGAGAACTACTTTTATGTATATGAAATACTACATAGAATATTTATTAAGTTTTGTAAGTGATGGCTTTCTAAGAGATAAAATAAACAAGGTAACATAAATTGATAATCAACATAGTTTATTTTTTATTACATACATTTGGACTCATTTAAATTTTACTGAAAAACAAATTGGGAAAAAATGGGAAAATATATGGTAAAAATAAAAAGTTATGTACGAAAGGGTACATACAACTTTGGTTATAATTTTACTATTGTTAAAAGTTTTTTTCTTGTCAAGTCATACGCTAGAATAAGGTTACTAATATAATAGTACTACTAGGAAAGACAACAGCCAGAATTTGGTCTGTATAGTATTAGTCGTATCAAAATCTCTATCAGATGTTGACTTGAAAAATTTGAAAGTGGTAAGGTAGCAGCTTTAACTGTAAATGTTACTAATTCCTATGCAAATTGAATACCATCAGTAAAGTTTATTTGTCGTTGAATTAGTCTTTTCAATAGTTTTCACTTCCTTGAAAAATAATTTAACCTGCAGACAGTATGTAACCTGGTGTTTTTGGGGTTTTTTTTAAGTTTCTTTTTCCAGGAAATGTGGTGTCTACAACGTTTTAAAACTTATATGCCTATATTTCTTTTAAGTCCGCTGATGTTGATTGTAGGCAATCATGCAAGTGAATTATGTTTAGTAACTAAACACCTACGGAAACTACGCCGCTTCTTGTCGCCGACGGTAAATACCGAAAATGAGCGGAAAATACGTTTATTTACGATGATTTAGTGGGCGGGAAAATGGGCGGAGCTTATTTTATCTCCTATTGAAAAACGTGTAAAGCTGGATTATGTTGATCTGAATCATGATGGTTCGACCACAGGCAATCGGTGCGTGACTAGGATAGTATACATGTACATGACCACGCCCACTTATATTTTTTATAAATATTTTTTTTTCTTATTAATAAAATATTTTTTTATTCAAAATGTTTTTAAAATATCTTATTTTCAATAAATCAACAAAGAAAATTTGTTTTTAAAAAAATTCATCCATTATATACTATTAATATAGTGAAGGTAGAAAGGTTCGCCAGCGGACCTACCACCAGGCCTTATGTTACCTCCCAGATCTTTGTTAATTGTCAACTAATTTTCACCAAATAAAGTGCAATCTACGCAGAAATGATTTCTCTTTCGAAAAATGTACAATATTAGAACAGTTGGTACGAAAAAGATGGATTTTAAAGCGAAAATGCACTTTTTTGTCTAGGTCGGCCATCGCTTGACCGAGCCGAAAGTAGAACCCGAATTTGAACATAAATCGATCTTTTTCTTAATAAAACAAACATAATGTCAGTGCATGCAAACAGTTGAAACAGAAAAGGGCAGCTATAATACTATCCGCTTACCGGTCCAAAGTTAATGCACAAAAACGTCTGTAGGTACGCACTTTCGGTAGTTTATTTGCGAAACTAACTTTTTAAATTCCCTGACATTACATGCATACAAATGCTGACACCGGATGTACCTGATGCGTACCGCTTTTCGCATAAATAAAAATTGAGCGAAAAGCTGGGTACCAGCGGGAACCGAGCATGCGTACCTTGAATATCCGGATCATGAATTTTGTATACATGTACAATGTCGGGAAATTTAAAAAGTTAGTGCAAATAACTACTGAAAGTGCGTGGACCTGCAGACGTTTTGGATTTACTTTGGACCGGTAAGCGATAGTATTATAGCTGCCTTTTCTATTTCAACTGTTTGCATGCACTGACATTAGTTTGTTATTAAGAAAAGATCGATTTATGTTCAAAATCGTCTACTTTCGGCTCGGTCAAGCGATGGCCGACCTAGACAAAAAGTGCATTTTTGCTTTAAAATTCCATCTTTTGTCGTACCAACTGTTCTAATATTGTACATTTTTCGAAAGAGAAATCATTTCTGCGTAGATTGCACTTTATTTGGTGAAAATTGGTTGACAATTAACAAAGATCTGGGAGGTAACATAAGGCCTGGTGGTAGGTCCGCTGGCGAACCTTTCTACCTTTACTATATTAATAGTATATATGGATGAATTTTTTTAAAAACAAATTTTCTTTGTTGATTTATTGAAAATATGATATTTTAAAAACATTTTGAATAAAAAAATATTTTATTAATAAGAAAAAAAATATTTATAAAAAAATAAGTGGGCGTGGTCATGTACATGTATACTATCCTAGCCACGCACCGATTGCCTGTGGGTTCGACAATGTAAAGCTATGAATGTAACTTCTGTTTTGAGTATTCGAACACTTAATTGGTATTGCTACTATCAGTTAAATTAATGTATTGTCGTTTAACAAAATGTATTTTGTTGAAATGCATGTTTACAATGTTAAATCGGCAAACTCAATGCAAGTATGCAACATTAGAGTTTACATACAAATAAATACAATTGTATTTTTTCCATTAACAAACTGTTCAACTCAGATCAACAAGGCTGGATTTTTGGCAACGAATAGCCTCCATATGAATCTACTATTTAATTCGATCGACTAACACCAATTCATGAAATTTGATAGCCGCGTTATTCAAGGCTCATAATTATCATCACATAAAGCCGACAACTTAAATTTTAATTTAAATGATATTTTTTATACAAAATTCTCCGTTTTTTTTAACGATTTTAATGAAATATTGCTAGGTTATCTATGCAGCATATTTATATAGATATTTCGTCATGAATCATGCGTGTGAAACATATATAATGTGACAAGAATATATTATTTCAATATATCCTATATTTAAGTCTACATTTAGATATTGGAAAATAAACATAAAACGGACGACATCATTCCACACCTCAACAGTCTACCCGTCCGCAGTTGTTTAATCAACAGAACTCTGTACTAGATTTTAATCAGAAGAGTCCCGTACTGGTTTTTAATCAGAAGAGTATAGTACTGGTTCTTCCTCAGAATATTTAAATCAGAAGGGTCCCGTACTTTATCAGGAGAGCCTTTGAATCCAATCAAAACATTTCGGTTATTATCAATAGGAATTTGACGGAAAGGGCCGATATGATGCGATTGCTTTTTAACCCTTAATCTACTATCAAAGTTTGCTGATATCAGGTCGAACATTTTAAGAGGTTTCACTGAGGCCTGTAATATACCATAAGCCTCTAATAATACACTCTTAATAAAAATCTTTCGCATACATTACACATAAGAACTAAATTGTGTACTATTTCAAAATGCTTTAATTGATGATTTTATACAGTGTCAAATATTTAAAATATTCGTATATTTATATTGCTAATGCCGTTTAATATGCCTGATATTAGGTCTAAACTCACTGGTTATCGATAATTTTAATGATTCTACATTTCAATAATGTACAACTCTTAATTTTCGATATAACAGAGTTAGTTCCTTGATATTGAGATAGCCTTGTATTGTATGTTGATAATCTCCAGACTAACTAATTTGCAGTTACTTCCCTTACATTATAGAACTTTGCTTTGCTTGACAGTGACGTCCCTTGTCACAAGCATGACTTATACATATTTTGATTTTTAGAAGAAGTATTTTGGCTCTCATAAAATACGCGCTAGTTAATATATAGAAAGTTAAGACAGAGGTTACATGTTATAACGACAAAATACAAGTGCAAAAAACAGTATTTTTCATATATTTTATTGCACAACTCAATAACTCAATAAAACACGAATGACGTAAGTATAAAAGACCTTTTCAAAAAGAAATGAAATATAAAATCAATATGATGTGTTAGAGACAATGAATACGATTGGTATATAATACAACAGTTTATGTCTGCAAAACGTAAAGTAAATCAAAGATTGCATCTTGCTAAACCCTATTCACATTTTGAAGTTAGTTAAAACTGTATAAATCCAAATTGCCCTTAGTCAGTCATTCTTGAAACAATCAAGGACGGTTTGAGCACCTTCAGAAAAAAATAATACTTTTAACAATATGAATATTCCATAAATTTATATTGCATCTTATCCGGTTTATCTTACACCAGACATCCATCAGCATTAGGTCTGTAGTACTTAAGTACCAGTACTTGCCAAAATATGGAATATCAGTACCTGTGATAGATTTTGGCTCAGTACTGTAGTACTAGAACCTTAATTTGAAAGTAATAAAGTACAGTAGCAAAACTTTCATATATTCACCATCTCTTGTATCAAACTATAAATACATGTACATGTAGCAACATATGGTAAATTTTCAATTTCTATATCAAACGCTTACAATATAAGTTTTTAAGCAGCATGCCTCCAAATTCATGCTAATTTTCGTGGAAAGTTTGAAAATGTATTTAAAAGTATAATATTGTGAAATGAACAAAGAAAGTAATTTACACATTGCAAACGACACTTACAATTCACGAAAATTACCAAAATGAGGTCAAACTATACATAAATACCTCTTACTGCGTAAGTAACGCAGTAGAATTATAGTGATTGATACTGCAAAATCAGTCATTTACCGCACATAACAGATTGAATTTCTTGAAATATTTTGGCTCATCTGGAGGTGTGCAGCTTTAATGTAAAAAAATATTTGCTTCTCCCGAGGATCGAACCAGCGACCCTGTGTTCCTAATCTGGTGCTTTTCCTATTGAGCTTCGCGGGCGGACCAGTTAAATATACACCAGATGTGAGAACTTCAATGAATATTCAAGTTTGCTCTACAGAGTTTGCTCTACAAGTATAACTTTGAGACAGTAATGTAGTGCATGTTGTAGCAAAATTTAGCGAGGGTAATGCTGTATAACTTAAGTACCAGTAATGCATGTCGGTCGATTTCCTAACTTTCCTTTGGCAAATTGTCTAGTTTAGCTTTGATATCTTGAATTTGATTTCTGATTTTTTCTAAAGCCCTATCGTTGCACTGACAGAGAAACACTTGTTCTAGTCTCAACAGTTCAGTTTCAATTTTTTCAAGAGTTACTCTGTACTTTTCAACATAACCTTTTCTGTTATAAACATCTGCTACACATTCAAGACATTCAGCAATAAATGGGTTTTGTGGCATGGCTAACGTTGCCTTTGATGTTAATTTAAGAGCACATTTTGCTAACTCTAGACTCTTCTCATAATTTCCCTTTCTTTTGTTGACATCTGCAAGATGTACTAGACTTTCAACGTATGGCATATTTTCCGCAATTGTTTCCCTGATATCAACTGCTACCTGAAACATCTCTTCAGCCTCTTTTAACTTTCCTTCACGATCGTATGTCTTTCCTTTTGTATCATAAGCACATGCAAGAGCCTCTCTTGGGGGGACTTTTTCTGCTTTTAATCTCTCCAAAGCGTCATCTATCAGTTTGTGAGCATCCTCGTAGTTTTGCATTGTGCTGCTCACGTTTGCCACATTACTTAGGGAAAACACGACAGACATAACTGGTGCTTTGGCCTTTACCTTCACATCCAGACCTTTCTTGTAATACTCAAATGCCTTTTCAAGATCTCCTCTTTGTTCATACATTACACCGATGTTATTGTAACAAGCTCCGACCCCGGGATGATTTTCTCCTTGTACCCGAATTCGTTCATCAAGACATGCAAAGTGATACCGCTCTGACTCATCGAATTTACCTGAAATATTCGTTAAAATGTTAAAAAAAACTGCTTTACAAAACCCTTAACCTCCGAATTGATGTAACGGATTTGCCCGGTTTTGAATTTGATTAGTCCATTCAAAGTTTAGGTGGTTTAATACAAAAAGTGAGCTATTGGTAGAGTAGAGACCTGTCAGACAAAGAGTGTGTAGGCTGGTCTCGCTCTTTGTACAGGTGGCAACACTAATAAGCTAGGTAACTGTTCAATCACAAAGTTTAATTATATGTATAAATCTTTATCTATTAATGCAATTAATTAAATCAAAACAGGGGATTCTAATCATTCATATTTGGTAGGGAGACCATTTGGTTATCTTTATTTTTTTTTTAATTTACTACAAAATGTTTACACTTCTAGAAACATTTTCGCTAATTGTTTAAACTTAATTCCTTGCTCTCAGATTATTATCACACCATCATTTCCTTCTTAACATTGGGCATGAAAAAAGACTACTTTAGTAAGACAAGAACAACGCAGAAAGTAATCATACCTAGCTGTGTCAGGCTAACTCCCATACTACTCATAGACTGCAGTGATATCAGTTTGAATTCCTGTCCTGACACCAGTGATATAGAAAGGGACTTTTTGAAAAACCTGTAATTTGAACAAAAAACGTGACAAGATGGTTCTCAAACTTTCAACATAATCTTTCACATCAGCAGGAATGAATCACGAATCTCTACATCCGGTGCTCTTATAGTCACCTTTGGATTTACTTATTTGATGTAATATTTTTTTCATACATCACCGACATTTCAATTCCACAACATTTTAAGATCGCCAAAAAAAATACAATCTCACTCTGCGAAAAACATTTTTATAACTACATTATTATTATAAACAAGAGCCATGTCAACATGGCCATCCCCCGCCGAATGTGTTTGCTCATTGGAAGAATGTATATGTAGTAGAACAGAATAATTCTATTTTAAGAGGTCTTTTGGTAATGAAAACTGATGGCTATAGTGATTACAGCTTTGAAACCTATGTGAATACTGATGGCTGAAAATAACAAAGGGCAATAACTCAAAAATAATGCAAGGTAGAGTTATCATTCTTAAGCACTGCACTCCTCCTCAATGAGATCCATCCGCCTTTGAAGTTTCAAGTTGATACATCAAATACTTTTTGAGATAAGCTCTGGACAAAATAGCATAAAAAACAAAGGGCAATAACTCAAAAAGTGTATAGGGAAGAGTTATCATTCTTGCGCACAACATTCCTCCTCAATAAGATCTATCCAACTAAGACATTTCATGTTGATATCTCACACACTTTTTGAGTTATGCTCCACTCAGGTGAAAAATTAGGTATGAAAAATAACAAAGGGCAATAACTCAAAAATTATGAAAGGTAGAGTTATCATTCATGTGCACTGCACACCTCCTGAGTGAGATCTATGCACCTATGAAGTTTCATGTTAATATCTCATAGGCTTTTGGAGTTATGCTCTGGACAAAAATCAATTTTGAAAAATAACAAAGGGCAATAACTCAAAAATCATGCAAGGTAGAGTTATCATTCTTGTGCACTGCACTCCTCCTCAATGAGGTCTATCCACATATAACATTCCTCCTCAATAAGATCTATCCACCTATGACATTTCATGTTGATATCTCAAACACTTTTTGAGTTATGCTCCACTCAGGTGAAAAATTAGGTATGAAAAATAACAAAGGGCAATAACTCAAAAATTATGAAAGGTAGAGTTATCATTCATGTGCACTGCACACCTCCTGAGTGAGATCTATGCACCTATGAAGTTTCATGTTAATATCTCATAGGCTTTTGGAGTTATGCTCTGGACAAAAATCAATTTTGAAAAATAACAAAGGGCAATAACTCAAAAATCATGCAAGGTAGAGTTATCATTCTTGTGCACTGCACTCCTCCTCAATGAGGTCTATCCACATATAACATTCCTCCTCAATAAGATCTATCCACCTATGACATTTCATGTTGATATCTCAAACACTTTTTGAGTTATGCTCCACTCAGGTGAAAAATTAGGTATGAAAAATAACAAAGGGCAATAACTCAAAAATTATGAAAGGTAGAGTTATCATTCATGTGCACTGCACACCTCCTGAGTGAGATCTATGCACCTATGAAGTTTCATGTTAATATCTCATAGGCTTTTGGAGTTATGCTCTGGACAAAAATCAATCTTGAAAAATAACAAAGGGCAATAACACAAAAATCATGCAAGGTAGAGTTATCATTCTTGTGCACTGCACTCCTCCTCAATGAGGTCTATCCACCTATGAAGTTTCAAGTTGATAACTCAAATACTTTTAGAGATATGCTCCGGACAAAGATGTCGGACGGAAGGACGGACGGACGGACGGAAGGACGGAAGGTCGGACGGACGGACGGACGGACGGACGGACGGAGACTATTTCTATATCCTCCGCCGAAAATTTTCGGCGGGGGATAATAAAGAAAAATGTACTTTATTCCATAGGACCTTAGTCATATCTAGTCATCCATATTAGTCCTGAGGACTATGAATTATGGTGTCTTTCTTTGAGAACCAATGATTAATCTTTTTTACACAAGGTAACCAAATTTTTATTTTACCCAAGCAGAGTTCAACTTTTATATCTACATATTGACTGTGTTTAAAATATGATCATGTCCTTTGTGATTTAAAACTTTGTCTAATATACTAATCGTGTCATATATCAAAACTAATTACCTGTTGGCATCTAAATTTCTTGCTTGTTGTAGCATATTCCATCCCATCCTCTGATATGCTGTCGCCAGTTGCAGTGATTTCCCTTTAGTTTCCAAAACTCTCAATGCTGACTCGTAGTTATTTGCCCCTTGTGAAAGATTCCCCTGGAAACGTCGGTTAATGGAAATTGCAATGAAAGAACAAATATGCAAATATATGTGTAAAATAGAGAAAAAAACATAATCCCCAAAGAACGTCAAAAACGGCAAAATTGATAAAAATACAGGCTCGGTTTGATTGAGCGTGTTCATGGGCGGTAGTGGTGATTGCAAGCTATTCTTTACGCCCCTACCACCGACAAAAGAATGCTGCCTTCGAATCACTTGCCTTTTTCGAATATCATCAGTGACTTTTGGTTATTTCACGTGAGGATACTATATAACTAGCTTATGGAGGATCGTTGACTGTACCCAGGTGCCTGTCTGTGTCTGAAATAATGGACCATTAGGCAATTCCTCTCCCAAAAAGGAAAGTTACTTTATGACTTTTATAGTGTCAATTTGCCACAATAAAAATTTAACCCAAATTATAAAGATGCCCCAGATAGCTCAAAGGCTTCAATTTAACCATGATTTGCACATGACAGTACATGTATGATATACCGTTGGTAAGATTATTGATTTTTCTTACCAACAGTCTATTTTCGCATTATTTGCACATGTAACTAGAACTCCGCGAGTCGGATGTGTCGCCTTGTGAACAATGTAGTTTAGGGGAAATGGTCAGGACAAAAATGAAATATGAAAAATAACAAAGGGCAATAACTAAAAAAATGATAAGTGCAGAGCAGCAGTTTCTGTACACTGCACTTCTTATCAATAAGATCTATCATTCTATGATGTTTCAAGTCCATAGCTTTCATACTTGAGGAGAAATGACCAGGACAAAAATAAAGTAAGTAAATCAACAAAGAGCAATAACTCAAAAATAAGAAATGCAGAGTATCAGTTCTTATGCACCGCACATCTTTTTAATGAGATCTATCATCCTATGAAGTTTCAAGTCCATAACTTTTATACTTTCGGAGAAATGGCCTGGACAAAAATTAAGTATGAAAATTAACAAAGGGCCATAACTCAAAAATTTAGAAATGCAGAGTACCGATTCTTGTGCACTGCACTTCTTAATAATGAGATCTATCATCCTATGAAGTTTCAAGTCCATAGCTTTTATACTTTTGGAGAAATGGCCCGGACAAAAATTAAGTATGAAAATAAACAAAGGGCAATAACTCAAAAATTAAGAAATGCAGAGTACCAGTTCTTGTGCACTGCACTTCTTCTTAATGAGACCTATCATACTATGAAGTTTCAAGTCCATGGCTTTTATACATTAGGAGAAATGGCCCGGACAAAAATAAAGTATGAAAATTAACAAAGGGCAATAACTCAAAAATTAGGAAGTGCAGAGTACTGGTTCTTGTGCACTGCACTTCTTAATAATGAGACCTATCATCCTATGAAGTTTCAAGTCCATGGCTTTTATACATTAGGAGAAATGGCCCGGACAAAAATAAAGTATGAAAATTAACAAAGGGCAATAACTCAAAAATTAGGAAGTGCAGAGTACTGGTTCTTGTGCACTGCACTTCTTAATAATGAGATCTATCATCCTATGAAGTTTCAAGTCCATAGCTTTTTTAGTTGAAGAGAAATGGCCCGGACAAAATTAAAGTATGAAAATAAACAAAGGGCAATAACTCAAAAAATAAGAACTGCGAGTACCGGTCCTTGTGCACTGCACTTCGGGTTATTGAAAGAAGCATGCATACCAAGTTTGATGTCAATCAGACTTATAGTGACTGACTTATGCTCCGGACAAGCTTTAGGGGACGCCGACAACGACGCCGACGACGACGCCGACACAGACGCCGCCGCCGACACCGCCGACGAGAGTAACCCCTATATGTCACCTTTTCAAGGCGACACAATAAAAACTAAGCAGGTCATTTAAATACATGTGGTTTTGTATACAGGTTGTAAACATGGCTGAGTTGCATTGTGATTTGAGAGAGGAGCAAAGAGCTTATTGCAAAATTCGTGGGTTATTGGGTAAATGCGCGTCAGAAATAAAAACGGATCTAGATTTAATTTATGGAAAAAATGCCCTTCCATATCATTCTTGTACAATTATCAGGTGGGCGTTAATGTTTAAGGCGATAAAACTAATGTTAAGGATAATCCCCGTCCTTGTCGGCCAATTTCCGCTACCTCTGAAAAAGACATAAGTACTGTCAAAGCCATAGTTGATGAAGATGCAAGACAAACCGTGGAGGGGATAAGTGATATATCGGGCTTTAGTTCGTCGTATGTGTACTTCATCTTGAAATTCAAGTTAAGGAAAGTGTGCGCCCGTTGGATCCCGCATTTGCTAACTTCTGACCAGAAAAGGGAGCGGATTGAAAAAGCCTCGGCCTTATTGACTAGGTTCAAAGATCGAGACCCTAGACGCCTGAGAGAAATTGTCACAGGGGATGAAACGTGGCTTTTTTTATTATTTGAGCCTGGCAATAAACTCGGCAACAAAATGTGGAGAGGTGCTATGTACGCTCTATTTTTTGACAGTGATGGAAAAGTGGCCCGTGTCGCTGTGCTTTAGAGGGGTATTGTCACTGGAATATTTTACCGTGACCACGTTCTCACTGCTGTAGTTAATCACTACATTACAAAGACCCCAAGGTCCATGATGCGCAGGATCAAATTTCTCCATGATAATGCACATGCGCACCGCGGGGGTCGGTCAGCTTAAGAAGCAGAGTATGGTGGCTTTTCTATAATCCTGACCTCTCTCCTTTTGACTTTTGTCAATCTATTCATAAAATATTGCCTTCACCCGTAGTGCCGTTGCCAGCGCTCTTTACCAGTGTATAAACAATATAGCTAAAGAACAGTTCAAAAAACGCTTTTTCGGAATGGATTCTGAAGCTGGAAAAGTGTGTAGATGTCCATGATGAATATTTTGAAGAACTCATGTTTCACAGGTATGACTTATCTATAAAAACGCACTGCCGTTGCCACTTATTAAAATATGCTCCTCGTATACCTAGTAAAGGACATATTTTTTATACGGAAATAAATGATTGGGCTACATTGTGAAGGACCATTTTTGACCTTCGACCATGATTCTTAAAACTTTTGTAAAGGTCCACTAAGCTACATGCTAAATAAAGTAAATTACTAAAAAGTTTAGTAAAAAGTCAAATTAATCATCAGTTGACAACTTGTAAAAACAGTATTTTACATTATCCACGTACACATTATACCGAAAGTCAGATAGACAATTGACCAATAAAAATGTACAAAAGATATCAGTTAAAATACACTAAGAACACATTAGCCGGTTATATAATTTGTCAAGATTAAACACATCCGTTGGGATACGGATGATAAAAATTAACAATAAATTAACTAATGAATGTCATTTCGAAATATATCGTATTATTTTACATGCGGTGTAAATAAACTGACTAGATTACATTTTAAGTTTAAGATAATCAGTCGATCTTCCTTGTTTTAAACAAAATAAAGTCACAGGCAGTCAGGTAAATTTGTATGGTTAAATGCCAGTAAAATATGATTTTATGTGCCTGATAAACGAACTGTTGACACTTCCGTATCCGTTATAACATTCTGTCATTGTAATGATATTGACCTAAGTTCATTAAGAAGATATTATACGCCAGGCCAGCCTGATATAAGTGCAGTGTTACCAGGCTATGTATGTATGTATTCCAGGCTAAATGAGGGTCCATCCGCCCTTTCAGGCTCTGGGAGTACGTACCCCGGACATGTCACCATTCAAGTCCTTAAAGGTTACTATCTACCAAAAGGTGGCCTATAAATTTTGAATTCAGTAATTCACTGAATGATAATTAATATGTACTTAAATTTTGGACGGACTGTTTGAAATTTCAAGCTGGACAAAACCATTTAAAGACAGTAGGGTAAGGACCAAAGAATGCTCGTGTAAACAAATACAAAAGATAATATAAAAGGGAATGTCCAACATTTATTGTTTCTTTGTTTGGTCAGTGGAAATGACCTTATATTCTAAATTTAAAAACGAAATTTATTACTAACATCAACCTGTCTTATCACTTTATATAATGTGTGTACTTCGTTTTATTATAGTTAAACATTTGTTGAACAAAGTAAACCATTTAGAAGTATAAAAATTCCGCAATATGATATTTAATGTATAACCCTAACCCTAAGTATACAGATTCGTTATATATATTTTCCCTATGTAATCAATGCTATTAATAATAAACAAACAAACAACAACAAAAAAAACCAATTAACTTTATGACAAAACACCTGTAAAAACCCAAACTACTTGGTAATTTGATATTACCTGTTAAACTATCTTATCTCCCAGACAAATCATTAATCTTCAAAGTAAACATGCAGTTTTTAAATGACCTTGATATGTAAATAACACAGATAATAAAATTAAATCAAAATAAAATTATCAAATAATTATATCTTTGCAGTGCACCTTTTAAGATATGAAACATTATTATTATACATAATTTGATATAAACATTATCTAAAAGTAAAGCACCAGAGCCGTAATGCAGGACTCGAATAGGATCGAATCCACAAGGAATGTAAGATTTTCTTTCGGGTTCTACAATCTACAGTGGTGGTATGAAACAGTTAGGACATGCCGGAAGCAGTCATTTGGCACAATAAAAGCACTATATCTACGATGATCTATCACCTTAGAAAGCTGTTTGACATTAGAGTAAAGACAAACTGACATTTACCTTTGTATTGGTGTACATACTCCCGACTGCAAGGTTGACACTGGCCTTATCCCCTTCTTGACCATACATGTCAGCTGCTCTAAGACATCCCTGGTAAAAATCCTCCCCGTCTCCTTAAAAGTACATTTGAAATACAAATTTAGTGCAAAACATACATGTAGTTTATTTCCTACATATTTTTAACAAAAATAAATACAATCATATTATATTACGCTCAAAATCATTAATGCAATAATAAACCTGAGGTTTTTCAGAAGGAGTAAGACTAAAGAAAATGTTGGAGTACTACACTAAATACCGTATTCAGGTATATTCCGGACAATGCGCGCGTCTGTTCACACCGATGTATGTGCGATGATGAATGAATAATCTAAGAATCGGCGAAAATAGCGATATTTCATGATTTCGGCAAGCGTCTAGAGGTACTGCCCCAACGCTGTACATAGTGAGTTAAATTCAATCAGATGAATATATATATTACCTGCCATGTACCGTTCTATCAGTTCCGTACACTGGGTAGCCATCTCAATAAAGAAGTGGTAAGTATCTTGTTTCGTATACTTCACTTCAATCAACAGTTTCTGTAAGTTTGGTTGTTCTTCGGTAAATGACGCCAGGGCTTTTGTATATTCTGCTGTACCAAGTCTTTGGGAAATGTTTTTCATTACTGCTGTGAATATCCGACAGTATCTTGCCCGGATTTCTATAATAAAACAACAACAACAACATTTCTATACTTTACAGTAAAACCCCTACAGAACGACGCTCTGTAGACCAATTACATCTTTAAAACAACAGTTTCAGTTCTTTAAAAAGTAAAGACTTCATAATATACATGTATTTAACTGTATTCTAGATGTAAAATAATGATGATGATGATGATGATGATGATGAAAATAATGATGATGATGATGATGATAAAAATAATAATAATGATGATGATGGTGATAATAATAATAATAATAATAATAAATAATAAATAAATAATAATAATAATAATAATAAATAATAATTGTAATAAATGAACTATCACCTGGTATATTTTTAATCGTGTAGAATGTTTTTATACACTCTCGGAGTATACCCTGTATGCTAAATCGTCTCGTGCGGGGATCGTACTTTAAAACATGTCGTCTGCGAACAGGAATCAACATTTGATCCTTCACTGTCGCTACCGATTGAGAATCTGGAAAACGACAATATATTTTGTACACTTCATAAATAAAAGTATTTTACTGTTTGGTTTTTATATAACTGCATGAATGGTTCAATTAGGTACACGTATTAGAAATTAATTTACTTGTTATAAAGTTAAACAAGCTTATTTATATGTTCCGTCTATTATTTTCTTCAAATACCGTATTTCACAACAGTAAAATACTTTTGTGTGACATGGGATGGTTGAAAATAGTGCGGCGGATCGAAAAGGCGAAATGTCTTAATCAAGCAAAAAAATGCCTTCGTTATAAATAACTTAAGTTTGTTGACATTACGTTTAGGCATACTGTCAATATGTTCAATGTCTCCCGTCACCTGGAAAGAACGCTTTATGGCACAATGCGGAAGAGTTTCAAGCGGTTATTTCAAAACGCACATAGGCAATATGTCCATACGTACACTGCGCATAAACTATACATACTTCTATACCATAATACATATATGTAAATTATTTATTAGTAATAGACACCCACTGGCAAATATCAACACTATAACTATCATGTACACACCATTATTTCTTACACGTATAAATAAAGTGAAAAGAAAGACTTTTATTTTGTCTATATAATAGGCATTATATCACGCGAATTTCGAATAATAATACCTTTTGTGTAAGCAAATAGGACAAATCAATAATGGAACTTTTCAATCATTTTTAAAATAGATTTAGTTGAGTAAAAACTAAAAACTGGTGGAAAGAATATTTAAGAGTTTTTAGCTATTCGTAAATACATTTTTTAATGAAAGGAAAACTATGATATTTGGCATAGCCAATGTCATAATTTTTGTTTTAATTTAAAAGACGTTAGCATTGCGATATTAATACCTAGTATTTCTTTGGCTTGTTCTGCGTTAAACGATCCAGGAATATATTCGAGTATGGTCAGTCGTCTCTTGTATACGTACCACGGTCAATGAAACCCCCCTTTAAACACGTCACTGTAAAAGAGGGAAAACATTTTTTTTACAAAATTTTTAATATTAAAATTTCTTTTATTTATTTTACCTAGATAGTAAATTAAGGCGTAAAGGGGGAACTTAAAAATGTAAAAAAGGTAAAGTTTTTTAACTCACTAAAATAAAACAAAAGAGTCCATTAAAAAGGTTTTTTAAAAATTCCGGCTTTTTAAAAAATAGGCCCCCCCCCCCCCCCCATTTTTAAAAAAATCGGGGTTTTAAAATTTGGGTTTTTAAAAGTAAACCCATTTTAAAAATTGTTCAAAGTTTTAAAATTTTAATTCTTTGTTAATTGTTTTTTAAAAAAAGGATATTTTAAAAAATTTTTATAAAAAAAATATAGGGTTTTTAAAACAATTTTTAAAAATTTTGGAGGGAGTTTTGACCCCACCCCTATTAACCTTTTGTGTTTTTTTCCCTTTAAAAAATTTTCCATCTTTTTTAAATTTCTAACTTTTTACCTTTCCCTTTGTTTTTAAAAAAAAGATTTTAATTTTTTTTCCCCCCTTAAATTTGGTCAGGCCCCCCCGGGCGGGCAATTTTTTCTGCCGCTTTTTCCTTTGGGGAACCCCCCTTGGTAACACCCCCATAAAAACTGGTTTTTTCCCCCCGTTTAAATATAGGCGTAGGGAGAACTTGAATTATGTAAATAAAAGGTAAAGCATTATTTAAGCTCACATAATACATAAAAACTAACCAAGAGCCTGCTCATTAAAAAGAGGTATAATGATAATAACGTATCGTGACGTCATATTTTAATTAGCGTGACTGTTCTGTTTAACACCCCTCACATATGTCACATATTTTCCGTATTGTAACAAATACGTGGTGTAATTAATTAAAGGATTGGTCTACAATGAGTATATATTCCACAAGTATTTCAAGTATTGTTAAAAACAACAGAAATGTAACATTTGGATATTCTTATGAAATATAACTTGTAAAAATTGTTGAAAAACTTCTAAGTGACTTATTATGAACGTTTATCTGATAAATAATAATATTTAGGTCTATTACATTTATCATATCTGCTATATAAATATATGTAGTAGTGGGTTATGTATCTCGCACTTGCCAACAACATCCGTATCTAATTCTTTCGTGGTTTGTTGTTACGCTTAATAATAAATACTACCGATAACAATTATTTATAATTGTACTACGGACTTTCCATGATAGACCAATTCACCTTAAGATTTTTAAAAAACCAAAATGCAGTTATTACCGACTCTGTCTTCCTCCGGGTAAAACTCCCGACTCAGCGCTTTCAGCCTACAAGTGAGCAAGAACTCGACCATGTCTTTAGGTGTTATCATGCCGCTATCTTCCGTTAGCTCGGAACCGACCATTAGAATTAGTAGAGGCATCCCTTCACATAAATCAACAATAGCGTTCTCGTATTCACCAAGTTCGACTCCCTCAAGTACAGTTTTAAGTAACAGACGCGTCTCCCATTGGTTTAGAGGCAGTACCTCGTGACTGCAGTAGACCTTTTTAAGCTGTGAGAATTGTACACGTGTTGTAGATGTAATGAAAATCTTCACATTTGAGCACTGTCGGACTAAACTAGTACACAATGAGAAGAAGGAGTCCCGAATATCTACACCTTTAAACTCTTGATAATCTTCGGTGTTGTCAAAGAAGAAAACAAATGGTTTTTTACCAGCTGCTTTAATACAGTCACAAATATGATAAATCCACCTACTGGACTGTGCTGCTTGTAACTCCGGTTCAATACCATAACTAGCACATACCCTCGAGTACAATGAGTTTGTATCAGATATTAATTTCATATCTATGTAAATACGGACAAAGCTACCTGGCTTTGTGCTCTTTAAAAACTCTGTCACTAGTCTGGATTTTCCAACCGATCTCAGTCCAAAAATGCCAAATATTTTGTGCTTCTGCCATGCTGTCTTTAACACATTCAAATCATTTTCTCTTCCGACAAAATCTGCTTCAATATCTATATCATCATCAAAGTTATTCTCAAACATCTCCCGAGATATTCCATTATAAGAACATCCCATGAACAGTTTACTGTGAGTGTCTGCCATGTTTCAACTCTTCATAAGTTAAAGTTATGTTGTGGAAACATTAATATAAACTTTTCAACCGAACACGAACGTAGGTTTTCTTTGAGTAATTAGATACACCTTGTTTTACCTACACACTTTCGGTATAATGATTAATTTAGATCCAGCTCACGTGCTCATTAATAAATATAACACTGCCATTGATTTAACAGGTAAATGGTTACACATACCTGTAACAGATGAATAAAAGAACAAATGATCATATATCTTAAAATCATAAACTACCGGTAGATCTATATAACATTTCACACTACACGCTATAGACAGTTCATGTATAAAGTACGTGTACAGCGTAATGAAAACTAATCATTTTATTTGCTACAGTGTTAGTCACTATCTACTTAAAACACCACTGACCTGCATGTGCGAGTATGATTTAAAGGCTAATTAATATAACAA